ATGACGTGGAAACCAAATCTCAATCACGCCAAAACCGAAAAAAACGCACCAAGTTAAATCGAATTTGAAGGTCTTGCTTACAGTTTTCTTCGATTGCAGGGGCTTTGTGCATCATAAGTAGTATCAGGAATATTACCTGCAAGTTATGCACAATTTACGCAAAGAATCCGCCAGAAACACCCGAATTTGTTGAAAAAATTGGATTTTGCACCATGATAACACCTCTGCTCACACATCGTTGTTTGTGCGCGAATTTTTAGCCAAAAACAACACACTAATAATGCAGCATCCACCGTATTCCCCAGATCTGACCCCTGTGACTTTTTCTTGCTCACGAAACTGAAGAGGCCTATGAAAGGATGACGCTACGCTACGATTGAGGAGATAAAACGACATCGAAGGACGAACTGAACAAGATCACAAAAAATGATTTTTTGAAGTACTTCGAGGATGGGAAAAAACGTTGACACAAATTTGTATAATATCTGATGGGAATTACTTTCAAGGGAACAAAATAGATATTCATGAATAAATAAATAATTTGTGAAAAAGCATAAAATTCGCGATACTTTTTGAACAGACCTCGTATGTAATGCTATTAATTAGGCTTCTGCATTTCATCTTAACCTGCGTCAGCTCCTTCCCCCGGAATAATGTCATATCACTCTTCTCCATCATCTTCCCAACTTCATTTGTTCATGTCTTCCTTGGCCTACCTCTCCTTTTGCTCTTTATTATCCCAGTTTCCCATACTTTCCTTGTCTTGTCTCTCTGTCTATTCATTCTGCTCACATATTCGAACGACCTCACTTAATTTTGCTCTATAATGTTTTGTGTTGGATAAATTCCTAGTTCTTGCCAGATGTCCACGTTTCTTATCCTGCCTAGTCTTGTTGCCTCTTGTATGCCTCTGGGATATTTCATTTCCATCGCTTATAGTTTGCTTTTTTGGCTCATTGATAATACCCATGTTTCCGAACCGAATGTTAGTACAAATCTGTATATTGCTATATATACGTCTATCTTTTCTTCGACACTTCTTTTCTCCTAATAAAATTTCTGTTTAAAACACCGAATACTGCGGTAGCTGATGAAATTCGTTCGTTAATCTCTAGTTCTTGCCTTCCTTCTTCGTTGAGTGTACAACCCAGGTATTTAAATTACCTTACTTGTTCCAATAATACTCCGTCTATTTGTATTTGCAGGTAGTTATTGTTATTTCTGATTTGCATTACTTTAGTTTTTAGTCTACTTGATTTTCATGTTCATTCTTTTTATCGTTTCGTTCTAGACATTTACGTTGTATTGCATATAGCGCTCACTCTTAGCAAGTATTGCTAGCTCGTTTATTTCTGTAATTTCGAGATTTCTATAGTCTAAACGCAATTTTTTCATCCTCGAGCTGGTTTCTAATAGAGGACTCAGTACACTGCCTTGCCTTACTCCTTGCTCGGTCATGAACTCATCCGTAATATTATGTCCTGTTCTAACAACATTTCTGCATACCTTATACATGCTTTTTATGGCTCCTATTAATTTTCTGCTAATTTTTCTTTAATTTAGTAAGTTCCACAAGACCCGTCTATCCACTTTATCAACCGCTCTTTCCAAGTCTAAAAATATTACACATGCTTCTAGGTGTTGATCTACAATCTATTCGATAATTTGTTTTATTGTGAATTTGTGGTCCTGTATACTAAATCCTCTTCTAAATTCACTCTGATGTCTGTGAGCTGATTCTCTATTTTGCTGTTCAGTTTCACTGCTATGATCCTCTCGTAAACTTAGGCTACAACGCTTAATAGTGTTATTCCGTCATAATTTTTAGTCCTTATTATCCCCCTTTTTAAATATACGTATAATTACGCCAATCTCTCAGTCTTTTTGTATTCTCTTTAACTTATTTTAAAGAATAAATTTCTAATAAATAAGATTCCCGTCTTTCCCAGTGTCTTTAACATTTTAGGTCTAATGGAATCATATCCTTCTGCTAATCCGTTTTTAATTTTATGTATAGTTTCCTCAATTTCGTCTGTTGTTATATCATCGTCGTCATTCTCTTCTTGTTCTTCTTCTATATGTACTCGTTCTCGCCGAAGGTGCTGTAATGCTCCTACCCTCTTATTTACGTCGTGTCAGCGTCAGTTGTTAACAAATTACCCTTTTTGCCCTTAATCTTTGTTCTCACTCTTTTATCATCCTTGCGGAATGATTTCAATAATTTTTATTGTAGAAGAGCTTCTGATTACCGTGTGTAGTACTTTCTATCCTTCTACCGAAATCGTCCCATGATCTTTGTTTTGCGTCCTTTACCACGTCCTTGAATTTTATTCGTTGGTTCTTGTAGTCTTCGTATGCATTTACTATTTTCTCTTGAAAATACATTTTCCATTTCGATTTACAAATAAGTGAAACAAAATTTGAGATAACCATAACCTTAACCTAACCTAACCTAAATATGAAGATGAGCGCGGGAACGTTTTTTTTTTTAAATTTTAATATGTTGTACACTTCAGCGTGCTGAAGAATACCTAATATATGTATATTTTATACACGGAAATACAAAAACGCAACGCACTTAGTTATGTACCTACCATATCAACTAAAAATAAGGCAACGACAACACCAANCGGTCATGAACTCATCCGTAATAGTATGTCCTGTTCTAACAACATTTCTGCATACCTTATACATGCTTTTTATGGCTCCTATTAATTTTCTGCTAATTTTTCTTTAATTTAGTAAGTTCCACAAGACCCGTCTATCCACTTTATCAACCGCTCTTTCCAAGTCTAAAAATATTACACATGCTTCTAGGTGTTGATCTACAATCTATTCGATAATTTGTTTTATTGTGAATTTGTGGTCCTGTATACTAAATCCTCTTCTAAATTCACTCTGATGTCTGTGAGCTGATTCTCTATTTTGCTGTTCAGTTTCACTGCTATGATCCTCTCGTAAACTTAGGCTACAACGCTTAATAGTGTTATTCCGTCATAATTTTTAGTCCTTATTATCCCCCTTTTTAAATATACGTATAATTACGCCAATCTCTCAGTCTTTTTGTATTCTCTTTAACTTATTTTAAAGAATAAATTTCTAATAAATAAGATTCCCGTCTTTCCCAGTGTCTTTAACATTTTAGGTCTAATGGAATCATATCCTTCTGCTAATCCGTTTTTAATTTTATGTATAGTTTCCTCAATTTCGTCTGTTGTTATATCATCGTCGTCATTCTCTTCTTGTTCTTCTTCTATATGTACTCGTTCTCGCCGAAGGTGCTGTAATGCTCCTACCCTCTTATTTACGTCGTGTCAGCGTCAGTTGTTAACAAATTACCCTTTTTGCCCTTAATCTTTGTTCTCACTCTTTTATCATCCTTGCGGAATGATTTCAATAATTTTTATTGTAGAAGAGCTTCTGATTACCGTGTGTAGTACTTTCTATCCTTCTACCGAAATCGTCCCATGATCTTTGTTTTGCGTCCTTTACCACGTCCTTGAATTTTATTCGTTGGTTCTTGTAGTCTTCGTATGCATTTACTATTTTCTCTTGAAAATACATTTTCCATTTCGATTTACAAATAAGTGAAACAAAATTTGAGATAACCATAACCTTAACCTAACCTAACCTAAATATGAAGATGAGCGCGGAAACGTTTTTTTTTTAATTTTAATATGTTGTACACTTCAGCATGCCGAAGAATACGTAATATATGTATATTTTATACACGGAAATACAAAACGCAACACACTTAGTTATGTACCTACCATATCAACTAAAAATAAGGCAACGACAACACCAACTTCGTTCGTATTGTCTTTTCCTACCGTATCCTTATGATCCTTAGCAATCAAATAAATGTATTCTTCGGTTAATGTAACAACATTGCGCGAGTAAGCACAATAACCTGTAAACCCTCCTTAATTTCGTACGCAACGACAAACAGCACACTACTTTAACATCCTCGCCAAAACTTCTGAATTTTCGGCTTTTTTCCATATTATTGTTTAACTTCCTCTCCTCCTTCATTCTGTGACCTTGAAGAAATCTGCGCGGAGATAGAAAGAATACACTCTAGGCGCGTGAGCAAGACAGAAATAGTTGGAACAAGCTTGAACGGGCAGAGCTCTCGATGGGCGGTCTTAAGGGATCGGCTTGAACTGTACAGTACTAGACGAAAATGTTTAACAATTTCTTAAAACAAAAATGTATATAAATTAACAATAGAAAACAAAGCAAAATTTTGATAGGTGTGTAGAACGTTAAGTAATTCACTTGTTATTATTTTTGGCTAAATATGCTTTTAAATAAAGCATATTCACGAGGCAGTTTAAATAATTTTGTAAATGGTACTGTACACTTTTGTCTAGTTCTCGCTCGATGATCGGTGGAGAAATGAGCTCCGCAGACAAATATGATTGAATATGGAATTATGCGACGGCGCATCTTAATAAAGGGAAGGGGCATATCTCCAACTTCTTGAAACGAATAGTAAATACATGGTAAATACATTATCCTTTATTAATCACTTTCTCGCAATCTGTACTTAAAATTTGAAGTTGATAAAGACGTAGGAAATATCATTGGTGACAGTCTATATAGTTTTACCATTCTTTAAGGAAATTTTAAATAATTGTGCAAGGAAAAATGACAGTTGCTTATTTTAACGAACTTTGTAATCTATTAAAACTAAAAAAAAAAGTTTCCAAATCGAATTATTTACATCCCGTTTTCCATTCTGAGATTGGTCTCCAGCAAATGCTAATGAAACTGGGCATGGACGCACCTCACCTCTACGACCGCTAAGTTGTATACATACATATGTATATTATGGTTATGTTTGTAGTTTCAATTACACACATCTGCGTCTGTATACTATGATCTGTATACGCTACAAATATATAGGCATACATACGTACATCCAGATTGAAGCGCCTATATATGCTTACGGTAAACGAAATACGCAGGCGCAACGTGCTTAGTTACCTACGCGCTGACATTTGAACGATGTCCAGAGAGACCCGAACCGACTTAAGATAGAATAACGTTCGAATCGCTTACAAAATACGAGTCGCACAAAGTGTTATTATTTCTTCATCGATTTGCTACAATTTTTGTGTTTTTGTTTTTCATTCTTTACGGGATTAATGATTCATTCTGGCATTGGTAAGTTTTAAATATTAATTACGTATTGTTAATTTTTCATCCCTCTAACACTTACTGGTTGTTATAGTTGATGTTTACTTTAGTTTTTATTTAAAGAATAAAAAGTGCCTTTTTTAAGGTAAATAAACATCTTTATGACTTTCAAATTAATAATACTAGGCGTTTGTCATCGTAATTATTTTTGTACTTAACACTGTATAACGTGCACTTATTTCATCTTGTGGTCACCGTTTCACTTTTATTTTTTTTCATTGAAAATAAACGTTATAAGTATGTACTAAACAGTCGATTACGTAATACAGAAAACAGCTTGAGAAATACAGGTTTTGTGGAATTGCATCAATTGTGCCTTCTGGTCGGTAACAACATATTAGTCGTTTATTATTTATATCTTTGGGCACCAAAACTGAAATGATTTTTTGAAGAAAACACGACGAATACGTTGGGCTCTAGATTGATTTTAGTAATAATGTTTAAAAATAAATCGTTCTCGCCAAGATACGTTTACTTTATTATTCATTTCTCAATCATTGTACTATTTTTACTGAGAAATAAAATCGGCAAAAATACGTCAGATTGATGTTACAACCAAAATAGGCCATGGTTACTTACCTATATACCAAGAACTCGGTTACCTACAACACAAATAGGCGTTGAAGGTAAACAGGAGACACGATTATGCAAAATTTATTTTTAACAGGTATCTTAATTGGGTGGTATAGGCTATATATACCTGTAGTTATTTGAATTCATTAATTTTGTAAATTTTCTTAATAATTAAAACCCACTCAAATCGCGCCAAAAATGATTTATTGATTCCTAGTTATTCATGCGTTCGAAGTTATAAAATACGACAAACTTCACGAATAGTTGAACAAATATTGTTATTACTTTATTTATGTTGTTATCTTAATCACTTAATTTCGTTTTTAAGTAGAGATCATATTTTTAATCTTTTATCGATTAACAAGCAATCGAATTATCTGATCACTATTTCTGATAGGCTCCTTATAAGGTACATGTTTTCGATCCACGATTTCCTCGCATGNTAATTTCGCCTAGTTTGCCACTTTTTTCAATTTTATCATAATCCCTCCTTTTTTCCGAAATTTTTCCCTCCTATTTATCCGAAAGACGTGCACAAAATGTAGTTCCAAAAAAAGTTGAAATTTTGGAATGTTAAGGGGTGTCTACCAACTTCAACAAGTCTAATCTAATTTTCGGAAGATTGCTTAAAAGAAATACTTATCTACAATCAAATATTCGCATGATGTGACAAAATAACAAAATATATTTTGCGATTTTTCCAGTCTGACGCTTGAACATCCTCGGCATAATGACGACCAAAAATTTAATAACAGTCATTTTTAATTTTTTTATTTTCTAATGAAGTAAAGTAAATAACCAATAGGTTGGCGGACAGTTAAATATCACTTTTTTCGTAAGAAATAAACAAAACCGTTTCCTTTTTCTTAATTAAATAGGAATACTTGGACTGTAACCTTTTTTTTAATAAGTGTAATCCCATATTTAACTAACCAGCTGATTTTTCCAAGGTTGCTTAATAATTTCGAATTGCCCAACCAGTGGCGTGGCTAGGTAACCAAGGGCCCCAATCAAAAAATGGGACCCCACTGCTATCTAAACTGATTAGGTTTTATCAAGTAAAAATATTAAATATACAAATACTTTAAAAGTTGTTATCTTAATCACTTAATTTCGTTTTTAAGTAGAGATCATATTTTTAATCTTTTATCGATTAACAAGCAATCGAATTATCTGATCACTATTTCTGATAGGCTCCTTATAAGGTACATGTTTTCGATCCACGATTTCCTCGCATGAATTTATTAATTAGTCGTTCTTTAGTTTTTGTCTATAAATGTACTTATAAGTAATTCTTAACATTTGCGCTGGAAGTGCGTAAAAGGAAATGACGACATTCAACTCTGCGCAGTCGTCATGAGACTTCAGAATTTGAGGTTAGGTTATAAGTACCTAGGTACCTTTATTTTCAGTTTTCATACCAAATGTATATTAAATAAGTGGCAGTGATTTTAACGAGAATAGTTAGCATTTATAACTCTATACTTATATTTATAATAAATCAACGGAACCACTTGTAACAAGGATATTCGAAAATTTGTAACAAATCAAGTCTTACCTCAAACCGTAGCCCATATTTCCGTTTATTTTCAAGGATCTGTTAAATATTTACATATCAATGTCTTTCTCTTAGCCACGGCTGTAGGTGTAACTAGACTTTCAAGTCCATATTATATAGTTTTGTAATAGATGGCAATAACTGTTTAAATAATTTTTAGTGCCTACGTACAAATCGTAGAAATATTTTCTCTAAATATGGAATACCGTTTTGTTATTTGGTTGCCACGAATCTCGCATTAAATTCATCATCATTTTTTGTTCAAAGCAATTCAATAAAACTGCGCCGTTCTCCCAAAAGAACTAAAAATACTTGCTAACAAATGAACTTTTAAAATCAACAAGGTGTTTACTAATCACAAGGGATCTGTAGTTTTGAAAACAAATCGGTATTCCTTATCAAGCACCATATTCTATCGTATAAATTAGGTATCTGTCCTTATTATCGTTAATTTTTTAATCCGAATGTAGATCAAGAATTCCTTGCTCGAATTGAAACATACGTACATTTGGCAATTTTTCTAAGGACAACAAACAACTACCAACGGTTTAACGGCGCCTTCCTTTGTAAATGTTGATGATACATTTCTAAAAATAGGGGGCTGGTGAGCAATTTGCCGCAATCAGCTCAAACGAATTTAGCGGACGTTCATCGGTTTTGAGCCAGTTTCATACGTAAATAGAAGCATTGCAAGCAATAATAAACGGATTTGGATTATTATACATGAGGACATCATCTTTTGAAAAGTACCTACAGCGTTATATATGGAGAAAATTCGTAGGCACAAATACCTTCACTCATCTTTTCATTTAAATAATAGTTTAATATAATTTCAAGCATTGTCCAAGAGGTTTTGAAAGCTTGGTTAGTTTAGGACAGTCTTCAAAAAAATGGGAGGTATTTTCAGTAACACATGTTTAAGATAGTATATTAAACGCCAAAAGAAAAAGATAAGGCAGTCCTGGGTTTGATTGCCGATTACAGGCAAGAGCGTCAAACTCCCAGGAAGAATGTCTTAATTGTATCATACCCTTTCATACCCGGTAGGGAATGTTATGTGCAACATAAAAACATGAAAAGAAAAGAAAATACCACAAATGGCGCAGTAAACGCCACCTGTAGTACGATGCTACATTTTAGGTTTACATATACTCCAACAAGGTCCATTTAAATATATGAATATCGACTTGCTGAAACGAATCCCGGCGTAGCTAACCACTACGTGATAGGCACGTTACCATAATCGAATAAAATAATTCGAAGTGGTCTGGTCGAAACTGCCAGACGCGTATCGCGATTTCGATCTTTTTGGATCTCATCAGCGCGTCGCAGACAGCTCCGACAGAACACAGACCAACTTTTACCTGCTGCTTTTTACGCCAGGATTCGTTTCACCAAGTAGATATCCATATATTTAAATGGACCTTGTTGGAGCATACGTAATCCTAAAATGTAGCATCGTACTACAAATGGCGTTGACCGCGCCATTTGTGGCATTTTCCAAAACGCGCTGTTAAGACAGCAGGTAAAAGTTGGTCTGTGTTGCTGGAGCTGCCTGCGACACGCTGATGATATATAGAAAGATCGAAATCGCGATCCGCATCTGGCAGTTTCGACAGAATACAGACCACTTCGAATTAATTTATATGAAAAGAAAAAATGGTAATAAAGAAATACTGTGTAATTTATATATTCAGTGAAGAATTTTGCCTTACCTGTATAGACCATTCAGAAATAATACTTCTAGAATTTATGCTTTTGGTTGCCAAAACAGTAGAATAATTATTACTAGTAATGTCTCAGAAGAAGATAGTTTCTATTAACAAAACAAAGCATCTTCTAGGCCAAACGAAGCCAGTACTCCGGTCCTCGAGTTCAGCAAGCCCTTGACCAGGTTAATTCTATTATACTTGCCTCTTAAGAAATAATAGATCAGAGTAATTAATTTAATGAATTATGGGTTTATTAAATTTTGTAATTCGTATTTATCTAGATCTAATAATTCTATTAAACCGGTCATACGAAAATTTGGTTAATTCAAAGATTGGTCAATTCGCATTGTCGATATCTGTCATAGAATTTGTCAAAACAATACATACTCACTGTTATTAATAGGCGTAAAAAACTATTGACTTAATTATATGTACGTATTAACGTTAACTGATTATATTAGATTAATTTTATCTTTTTGTATAGTTTTTTTAAATTATTTATTTATAATCACAGTGCTCACTGGTACAAAGTGTAAGT